ACATCAGCCATCAGACCTGAAAGGTATATACAGGTTTTAGAGCAGCATATGCTCCTATCAGGATGACATGTTTGTCAGAGAACACCTTGAATATTTCAGCTAGATGTTGCAGACTCCATGTTCTGAACTGACCTGTCTGCAGTGCAGATCTTGGAGCGCAATGAAACAAACGAAAAACTAAATAAAAGTACAACAAAGTCAACTGAGGACTGGAGAGCAGCTATTGTGAAATAATGAAAGGATGCTATGCTCCAGTAAAATTTAAAATGAGCTTAAAATGTTACATAATGTCAGTTTAAACATTTGACATGTTGGCCAAGTTCTTTTGTAAATAAGACAAATCTGTACGTTTTCTTTTTATATACATTTTACACAGATTCCAACTTTTTTGTAATTTGGTTGTAAATTAAACCCAGAAATGTATCAAATTTTAATGCCTTTGGTGCACAGCTTGCATAGCTCTCAATTAAATACTTAAAAGACTATAAAAGCAGGTAAAGATAAGATATTATTGCAAAACCTTATATGCACAATAGTATAAAAATTAGTGGTGAGAGCTGGGTGAAATGGAAGTTTAAAAAAAAAAAAAAGTATTACTATGAAACCAAAACACTAACTAGCACGGCAATTATGCAGGACCCACATCCAGCACAGTTACAGCGATTAATGAAAGAAGGTTTTTCAGTTTGGAGTAGAACCACCAGCTTCCTCTCAGAGGAGCACAGCCACAGTAAACTGCCTGTAAGTAGCTGTGGAGCCACGCCCACCACTCCAGCCCGCAGATACCTGAGAAGAGGGAGGCGAGTGACAGGGAGAGGCCGTTCTGAGACATCGCCAACAGGGACTGACCCTCACAGCCATCTGAGAGACACAAACTGTCACCACATGCATACATTTTTACACTCCACAGAGTGTGTGTCAGTGCCACACTGCGCTGCCGCATCCAGAGGAGCATGTACATGTGGAAGTCATGCAGGTACAAGGGCGAAAACATCTTCTCCTCTGACCTCTGGTATCAACAAGGCTTCTTAACCTGGAGAATAGCCATGCACTGGATATTTTCTCCTTTTTAGACCAGTTTCAGTAAACCCCACACATGGTTATGTGTAAAGATAACAAGTTAGCAGTTTCTCCTAAACACCTTTCTTCCCTTCTGATGCTTGGTTTGAACTTGAACACAGTATTACAACTAACCAGCTTAATATTTTAATGAATAAGTACTTTAACAGGTATATTGAATTAAATGGCTGTTGAGTTCATATACTGAGGAAACAGTAAAATATTTTAGTTCTAGGTAAGAATGTTACCAGTAACACCACACAATAAAAAACAACAACAAAAAAAACTGCTGCTTCATTATTGCAAAAGCAGGAATACATCTGAATGTATTGCAACAACCAGTAAAGAGAGTCTGTAACAAGCACCAGTGCTAAAGGACTAAAGTAAAGACGAGTTACAAATGATATCAGGTCGACAGATGAATGACTAAATATCAGCTTCACAGCATCTGTCCATGATTGTAACTTCCTGAGAACTTTTGGGTCAAAGTTTCTTTTCCCTCCTACCAACCAACCTAACCAATTATCCTCTGCTAACATTTAGTTAAATGTTAGAGGACAGCCCTACTGTTAGCAGAAACCCCAAAGATGTTCATTTCCAAGTACAGTTAAATACATGTATATACATTCATACATAAAACCCACCAAGACACGAGAAAAACCACAACCCTTATTAGCAGAATCAAAGCAATTCATAGACTACTGTTGTTTGTAGTATGAGAAATATGACAGACCTCATAGAATAGCTACGCCTTTTAAAATGAGTATGACTATATAAATCCTTAGCGTGTGTGATCACATGACCTTAACAGCTATATATAAATGGCAACAGCAGAAATAGCTAGTATTATGTGACCTCTGCGCTCAGACATTCATATTTAGGGTCTTCTGTGAAATGTGACATGTTTGGTGAGCAGACAGGCTGATGAAGAGGTTATGAATTATGACCAGAAAGTGAATTAATCGAATCAATGATGAATTATAAAATCCCCCCCTCCCAGTGTTCCCTCATTCCCTCTCTACCTCGCAGTTCACACTCCTCCACCTCCTCCGCTGAGCCCGAGTCAGACAGGCCCTGGTAGGAGTCCTGAGAGCTCCTCCTGGAGCCTCCACTGTCAGTGGAGTGAAAAGCTGCACAGAAGAAAGGACACGGAAATAAACAACATGTGCAATAAAAAAAAAAAAAAAA